TGAAAAAAATTGGTTTATGTATAATTTCAAAAACATCAAAATTACACATTTACCATGCTCCTGCTTCAGAAGCATTTTCACAGAGATTTTGATAAAAACCCAAAATTATTTTGTCCTTTTCATTTTTGCGTTACTAATTTTAGGTAACAGTTTGCTTTCCCAGATTAATTTCTTAAGGATTTATTTTAATAAAAATATGGTAGATAATGCATTTTAGAAAGCTAGTATTAATATAAATGGAAAATTAGCTATGATCTAATTATGTCTAATATCTAAATAGCCATATATCATGGTTTAAATTATAAGAAAAATATTTTAATTTATATTTAAATTATTACATTAAAAATTGCACTTTGTATATTGCATTCTTATTGTCAGAAAAATACCAACTTTAATATCACTTTTATACAAAATTTAGATATTTTAGTCAGTAATTTGTTATTGGCATGATCTGAGGTTTTTTTTAGGTTTAGACAAGGTGAGTATTTTTAGTATTTTTTGTAACAGTAAAACATTGAAATAAGTCCCAAATTTAACTTCAAACTAATCCTTGCAAAAGTAAATATCATTAAATATATAATTTGTAAGTTCAAGTAAATTATATAATTTTTTTTAAAAAAGTTAATACTGAATTATACATTTGATCTAAATCCAAATACACACACATACCACACCCTTGAATTATCTAGTTTTAAAAAAAATTATTCAGCAATATTTATACATTTATAGCTAACCAAATGTCTAGAATGCTGCAAATTGTGTACACAGCACTTTCCCCAATTTAACACATTTACACAGAAGAAAATAAATATTAAATATGTCAATATTTTAAAGACAATAATTTGAATAAGAAAAATTCAATATTCCTCAGTGCTTTTTTCTACATAAATTCAATCAGCTGCATAATTAAAAATTCATAGGGCATTAGGTGATTAGCTTATTCAGGTTTAAAAAACATACCTTGTCAATTATCTTTTGAAAATGAACTTCTACAGTGCAGCTCTGGATGTCACTATGTTCATCAGAATTGTGTATCAATACTGAAATTTTTTTGGATCTTATTTTTTGTGCTCGATAGCCAAAAACAAAGAGCATGGAATCAATCACATTAGATTTTCCACTGCCATTTGGTCCAATAATGCATGAAAAACGCTGCATAAAACAAAAAATACATTGCAGCTGAATAGTTACTAGCAATTGACCTCTCTGCCTTTCACAATGATTTATACTTAAACATGGTGTAGGAAAATATGTAGTACAGTACTGGAAAGCTTAGTTTTTATAGCCAAGGATAAAGCATATAAACTACACCCCTTATTCACAAGTTTTTTATTCACAAGTTTTATAAAAAAAAAAAAAAAGCAAACAACAGGCTACAAACAAGTATGTTCATAATTAGCATCAATAAAATGCTTCAAACAGTAAAATATAATTTTATTTAATTACTGATTATTTGTACGTAGTAGAAAAATACTTCGTATACTTTTAGCTTCTTGAACTCCACAACAAGCAACTTTTTGAAAAGTACAAACAATAGTAATTGAGACTTTCATCTGCTCCCCCCCACCTCGGTGTTAGCTGCCATTATGTAATTTATTTAACTATGAAGTAGAAAAGTCACAATAAATCTTTACTTCAGCTTAAAAGTTACACAAACTAGAAAGATACCTTATGAAACGGTCCTAGAATTTGCTCCCCAGCATAAGATTTGAAGTTCTGGTTTACAATGTGAGTTATCATGAGACGAGGAGCTCCAGCTTCATTGGTCATAGCTGGAGGTGGGGGAGGAGAGATGCTACTCAAAATTTCTTCTAAACTTTGATCATCAACTACTCCATTTGATACTGCTAAAGATATCCAAAAACAAGAAAATTGATATACTCAATAACTACAGCAGACACACACATATATATTATCAGTGCAAGTAAAAGCTTCGTCTTTTAAAACTATACTACTGTAACAGAATCAACATATTTGTACAGTTAGACCAAATTACTAAGAATTGATCTAGAATGCATCTCTCTCAAATACTGAAGGACTAATTCAATAATCAATTCTATTCCCAGAACAACTATTTTTTATGTAGTACCTTCCTGTATAAGGAAATACCTTTATATACATATACATGAAAGAAAACAGTGAATCTTCCCATATTCCTGCATTTTCAGGCACACCCAGAGCTCCAGCACTGTGGTTGCTAACTATACATTGCCTTGTAAGTTCTAATGACAGCAACAGCACTACTTCTCAGACAGGAAGTTTGTCTTTCTCAAATACACAAACACACACACACACACACTCAAAATCTGGCCATTTATGTTTCAGGAAGACTTAAGACCATTTTCTAACTCCTTGAGAAAATATTTTTTCTGAATAATTGGTATCAATTTTCAGTATCAATCCACTTATTAATATTTGATAAGTAAGTTGCACTGGCAGTTATTTACTTTTAGTGGAGAACACACACACGCACAAACAAACTTAAAACATTATCAGTAATTGTCTACCAGTACATAAGGTACAAATATTACTCTCCAAATGTTTCCAAAGATTTTATCTACTTCAATTATTGATATCATGGTTTCACAAGATACTAGGAATAAGGCAATTAACTTTTCCTGAAGTTCCAGATTTGCTTTTAAACACAACTTTTTCCTGAACAATGTAATCGCTGCACAAGCCAGCATATAATAATAAACAAAACAAAATTATAGTTAAGGGTAATTTAAATTATGACAATATATGCTAAGTTAATAAAGCAACATCAGGTCAATAAGAGACTGACCTTGCTGAGGTACTTCAGAGGGGTGCATACTTGCTTCTTTTTCAGGTTTCCCATCATTAGAGGACTCCTCCAAGGAATCATTGCCTTTTTGATGGGCTGCTGCCGTAGATACTTTAGTTCTTTTGCTTGGCATGATTTCTGTCTGCTGTTTCAATTCCAAATAATTATACTATAAAACTCTGTGAGGTTTGTTTCCCTTTGTGCTGAAGTACTAAAAGAGAAAAGAAAAACCCTATATCTAGACTATAAAAATTGCATCCAGTCCCAAATAATAATTGATCAGAACAAAGATTTCAAATTGGCAAGCTATTTATGACAGCGGCATGTGTTTTCCCTATCTTTAAACAGCAGATATCTTCCATACTAAGGCAGATTGCATATTATAAATTACAATTTACATTTGTCATAGGATCCCAACAAATAAGTCAAGCTGATAAAGAACCAAAAATGAATTCCTAATAAGTCTCTGCAGTACAGAAAGGGACTATCTAGCATTTAAATTCTTAAAAGTATATTAATATGAACTTAAATGAACATACGTAATGGGATTGAGATATGTTGATTTTATTCTAACATCAAAAGCTCAAAAGGCATCAAAATTGAAATAATTAAAACTCTTTTATAAAGAACAGATCTTAAAATTTAGATGGGTTCACAATTTGGATTATACATGACAAGGTGAAAAGCATGGTTATTTTACGCCTCATGAATTTTTTTAGATATTAGTATTAAAGAAATGCCTAAAAACCACTACTCTAGATTAAAGTGTTGGTTTGACTCACTGTACATAGTATTTTGGAGCAATTATCTTTCTGATTTTTACAGGAAAAATATACTATTAAGGCAATAGGAAACTTGAAATTGAAGTAAATTGCATATATTACTTCAGAATCCAAAGAAATCCAATTGACAGGAATGAAATTTTATGCTTATTTTAAAAGACGTTCCAAAAAACTATTTAATGCACAGCATTTCATAAAAAATGTAGAACATTAAGAATCCTTGGGGGGAGGGAGAATCAGATTTCTAACTTTCATAAATCCATCACCTCTTCCTCACCCCTCTTAACTTGCATCTGTAAAGGGTCGAAGTAGCGGTGTTTCCTAAAAGACTTACGAACCTAATGCAAAGTATCACTCATCGGATCACAGCCGCAAAATCAAAACTCTGCTGCGATTTGAATGTACAAGTTTTAAAAATTAGCGTCTTGCCAATTTCTGAAAAAAATGTATTGGAAGAAGCTTCCCCTCCTCTACACTTCGAAGGCAATGCATGCTTTTTCAAAGCGCTCAGTTGCTAGAAAAATCATTTTTTAAAAAAGCAGGCTGAGCGTTATCAATTAAGCGGCTAATTATTTTTTCTAACACCCCCCCCCCCCCAAAAGCCTCCCACGAAGATCACTTTTTACAGAAATAATTACGAATTGAGCGGAATAAGCACTATGACAGCCTACTTCAAATTAAAAAAATGGCTGTGGGAGAATAAAAGTTAGGGAGTCAACTTGGCGTTTATTACAGGCAACGGGAAAAAAGCCAACCAATGCCTTCTGTCCCCTTCCCCCACGCGGTGGCGGGGAGTGGGAAAAGCGGGGGAGAAGAAAAAGTGTCCGCCGGTTGGGGGAAGGGGGGAAATGAAGCAAGTGCTTTTTCCATACAAGAGAAATTTGCGCTGAATTTCCGTTCTCTCAATTAGGCGGAATCAAATACTCTTCCTCATACAGAACAAATAATTATTTACCGTATCGAAGCTTCAATCTCCAGTCTAATCCCAGCGAGATCCTCAAAATATTACCTCCTGAAGCAAAACGCAGGAATATTATATCCACGGATGAGCTTACCAGGCAGTTACTAAGTATTCCGTCCTCACCCACAAGCGGAGTTGGTAAGTAGAAGCGCGGGCCAGCAAGTTTCCGACTAGCAGCCCCTGCAATACCAGCCACCTTCGTTTCCTGCCTGCAGCCTTGGCGGCTTCTACACTCGAAAATGGCGCCCAAACGGCAAACTCGTAACGAAATTCGTTAGAAAAGCGCAAAGCATGCTGGGGGAAGAAAGGGGCAGGCTTCCCGTAGGTTTGAAAGCAGAAAAAAAAAAAAATGAAACGCTCTCCCGCGCCGCCATCTTGTTTACCGTTATTTGGCGAAAAGGTGGTGGATTGTTTTCACGTCATGTTTTCTCAACAGTTTTTTTTTTTAAGCGTAAGGGGGAGGTTGCAAGAGACATATTTCCCAGTTTTTGGAAGAATATGTTTGAAAATATCCCCAGATAACAAAGGAGAAGGGGAAGGACCCGAACGATCCTCCCGTTGAGTAGGCGGGTTACTTAGCAACAGCCTAGAGATAATGGAATAATAGTTTTTTTTAAAAAAAAGACTGGCTGCAACCTTTACTTTAAAAAAGAAAGAAACATTTAATTTTGTTTGTATTGATTAAATTTGACAGTTTGGGCTTCTGACGTCAAGGCTGGCGTCATGCGCTCGGGGATACCCGAGTTTGGGGGGGAGAGAGAAAAAAGTCAAACCTCGTGGGGGAGGGTGAAGATTGTTCGAGATTAGGCATAGGAACTCTCGCGGGAAGTAGCTATAGAAACCGAGCCGCTTTCTCTCACGGTGGAAAACGGCAGAGAAGCTCTTTTCTTGGGGAGGTTATTTTTGGGGGGGAGGGTGCGGTTAGGAGACTGGCGCCTTTAGTTTCATCGAGGTTCAGAACACCTGTCCTAGGAGAGGCCTACTTCCTTTCTCCTGACTCCGAGTTCTCTTTGGTAAGTTCTTCCCATATAGACTTTCACTTTGGACAGGTAAGGAGGGGAAAAGTGAGCCGGAGGTAAAGAGACTCAAAGGCGAGTGATGAGAGACTGCAACGCGGGTCGCTTTATTGACAAGGTCTCGTTGAGTTGTCTTGGCCCTTCGGAGAATCCTGCAAAGGACAGGATTATTGCCATTCCTGGTCATTGCTTGTCAGGGAAGGGGTTAACCACGACCAGACCTTCCCTCCGCCAGATCTATCTACGATACCAGAAACTGGATAAGTGTAAGTATCCGAAGTGATGCCTGTCACTTTCACAGTAAGAGTTTTTTGGGAAGCGAACACTCTGAGGCTTTGTTTTGTGTTCCTTGGCTGTATACGACTACACAGAGCAACTCCCTTTCTTGATCCTTTTCTTTTAAGCTCATTTGTCAGTTAAAACTTGTGGAGGTATGGAAGATAACAAGCTGGTCTCCTGGCAGTTCCTGTTAAAATTCAATAGATTTTGAAATGAAGTAAGATTTGCTACTGTTTCCCTTCACTGAAATGCTAACACTGTATTACATTATATTATTTAGTATATGTTCCGAGGCTTTGAAACAGGAAAGAGACTTCTCATTATCCTCATCTTATGAGAGAGAGAGAGAGAGAGAGAGAAGAATGTTTCACTATTAAAAGAGGCAAATTGCATATTTTACTCTACTTATTTTGCCAAATTAAACTCTATGACAAGATGGATTCAAGAGTCCATAATCTCATTGAATACCAGAGCCAATTAAATGCCAATTAAATATTAAACTACATTGCATGTTAGTGTGTTTTCAGTTATACTGTGACAGAGAAGATTTTCAGTTCTTTTAGTACATATTTCCCTGGGAATTTGTGGAAATTTGCAACAAGAAAGGAAAGGAAGGAATCCCTACGGATTTTACTCTAGTTGTTGCCAAATATAGGGGGGGTGGCCATCTCTGTTTCAAGGCCATAGAGCCAGTACTGTCTGAAGACATTTCTGTTGTCATGTGATCAGCATAACAATGCTGTTTCCTCCCACCGAAGTGATACCTATTTATCTTCTTGCATGTGCATGTTTTTGAATTGCTAGTTCTGTGATGGCGAACCTATGGCATGTGTGCCAGAAATGGCATGTAGTGCCATCTCTCCAGGCACGCCAGCCTTCACACTTGCTGGCCAGCTGGTCTTCATGCATGTGGGAACATTGGAAACCGGAAGAGCAGTTCCCCAGCACATGCACACGCAGGCACACCAGCCAGCTGATCTTTGTGCACACGTGCGCACCAGAAAACGGAAGACCAGGTGGCATGTGTGTGCCAGACACCAGAAGCTCAGCTTCCCAGCACATGCCAGGGAGATGCTTTTCTGGTTTCCAGCACTCCTGCATGTGCATGCCAGGGAGCTGCTCTTCTAGTTCCTGATACTCCTCTGGCACGTGCACAAGGTTCGCCAACACTGTGCTAGATGGAAAGACAGATTCTCATACCCATTGTGCAACGCTAGGGTCTCAAATCCGGACTGTTGGCTTTCCAGCCTAAAAGCCCGGCATGTTAACAGCCAAGCCATCAGGCCACCCTGAAAGAAAATATTTCCAAAAAGTGTAAGTTTGTTAGAGTTAGCAGCTATGGTTCAGAGGTGAAATTTTATTCTCAATTTGTCATGTGTAATAAATTTACTGAAAGAGAAAATTATAGTGTAGTTATAATAGAGAATAAAATTGAGGTATTTATACTGATAAATCAGGCAAAGTTTACAAAGAAAAGCATAGTGTGTAATGAGATCCCTCTGAAATTCAGATAGCTTTTACCAAAAGCTTGCTAATAACTGACTAAATAATAATACAAATATTTCCAGTACTGTAGGATTTCTCCCTTACTTTGCACTCTTAGTATGTTCTTATGATAATCTTGCAGTAGAAAATACAGTTCTCAGGGGCCTTAAAATACTTTTATTAAACAATATGTTTCATAGATTCTGGCATACTTCATATAACTAACATGTTAACTGAGTGTAAATGTCATATTAAGCCATGGTGTAATTTATTTGGCTTCGGTTTAGCTTCTTGTGGTAAACATAGTCATTGTGTTTTCTGAATGATTTAGTATAATAAAGGAATCTAGCTATTTATATCAAAGTAAGATTACATTATATTTTATTATGGGTGATCTCAGCTAATTACTCTTCAAAATAGGTAGAAAGTAAGTTGTATTTGTGGCCAGTGTGGTACTTGCTTTAATCGTTTTTTTAAATTCAAAATTAAGATTCTTAGAGAAAATCAAGAGTTCACACTATTTCAGTGCTCAAAGGGTGACTAGGTTAATGTTTTATCTGGATATTAGTTTTTACTGCCATGAAAATGTCTGCTTTCTGTTGTTCCAACTTTCTGTTGTTTCCAAAAAGAAGAAATCTACATGCATATTTCAGTAAAATGACAAATTAACACTGTATAACAGAGCAAGCATTTTCCATATATTATTTAGATGCTGTAATGCTATGCACATCTACATGAAAGTCCAAGCTAAAACTTTACATCTTGTGTCTAAGAAAATAATTATGTGCCACATATCTAGAGAGCCTGTTAAACAGCTCTATGGATAGTACTGTAATTGTAACATTATTTGGAAGTTCATCCTAGCCAAAGAATGGGGAATAATACATTGTTACAGTAGTAAAAGTATGCTTTCAGTGTCATTGATACTAATATGATTATCAAGGATAATATAAATCCTTGATTTATCTTGACAATGTAAAAATACAAACAAGTTGTGAAAACTTAGATTTATTTATTTATTTATTAAAAAACACTAGACTATAGAGTATTATAAAATGTACTAAAATTTTGATGTGAAATATCTGTAGAGGAAGGTTATATGACTAAGATTAAAGTTAACATGATTTTTTGTAAACTGTCTTATATAAATATAAGTATTAGCAATTGCATTGAAAAGTGGAAGCTGTATGCATCTTCTCTAGTGAGAGGAAAAAGAATCAGAAATTGAGAGAGTAAGAGAGCCTTAATCAGAAACATAATCTTAAAATGTATATTCATTCACACATAGAAATAAGATTGTGAACCAGAATGATGAAACAAATTATTTTAAGAACATATAAAAATTGCTTTTTCAGTTAACCAGCTCTTAAGCCTGATTTTGCTTATTCTGTGTTATTAAAATATACATTTATGCCTAATTGTAGCATTCTCTTCAACCCTCAAACTTTTTTGAAATTAAATTTATAAGAAGTATCTTTTTTTCAAATTAATTTGTGAAATACTCTGGGGAAAACTGATATGTCCCGTAGCTGTATCTATTTTAGGCCTTCTAAAAACCTTTGTGTAGTAATTCTTCAGTGGGTTGTGGCCCGTTTGTCATAGGACTCCTAAGAGATTAGAAAGCATGTGTTCTAATTAATAAGATATGCTCTTCTGAATAAGTAAGTGCCTCTTAGTTAATTTTAATGGAAGTACTTTTAATTGTAGAAGTTACATGAGATTATTGTTTTGCAGAGTTATTTGTATTATTTTCTGTTTTTTGTAGATATTCTTTCTTACTCTTCAGTTTGTACCAGGAAATAGACCCAAGGCTTTTAATACTAAGTTAATAAATTACCAATATGGTCAATATTTTTTCTCATGCATATAATTATATTGCATTTTATTAGCTTTGGTCAGAGGACATATTAGCTTACAATTTATTAATGTTTAGTTTTAATACAAGTGTATATTGTTATATTTTAGGGCAAAATCCTAAAGAATAGGTAAAATGTAATATGCTAATATTACAATAAAATAATTTAAAAATAGGTCCTTTAAAATATGCTTATGTGCTTAAAGCATAAATATTCCAAGCATATCTTGAAATAATTGAAATGAACCTTTAGACTGTGCCAGAATTGTTCACCGACACATCTTTGGAAGATAGAATGTTTTCTACTGTTGCCATTTCAAAAGTTTTTTCTCCCTTATACCTGCCAATCAAATTGATCTTAAAGAACAGCTTTCAAACAGGATCCTTATCACAAATATTACTCATGATTAGTTAGATGCAGCTGGTTTTGTGCCGAAGCCTGATATGAATATTGATAGGACAGAGTTGGTCTTGGAAATACTTGGGCAACCTATGCAACTGATAAAGAATATTCTTCCACATTTTGGACATTTGTCTTTCTAGACTTCTTCAAAAGAAGCTCTTTACGGAACCTAATGAAATTGTCTAACCCAAATGTGAATAATGTATAAAATGTTCAAAGTCCAGTCTAACCATAGGTGATGGCTAAGATAGCAAAAGATTTGCAGACCATCAGATTGTTAGGGAAATTCAGCTTATTCCAAGAAAAAGCTCATTGTTATCTCTAGGTAGATTCCTACATTTGAAGTAATTATCTGCCAACTTAGATACATTTCAGCTTCTTAACATTTAATGGTTCCAAAACCTATTTATACCTGTTTGAACTCCACTATCTTTCTGGAGCTTAATTATAAGAAAAAAAGAAGTAAACTTGGATTGTATATTACATTGGTAAAATTATAATAGGAAATTTTAGAAGATTGTTACCAGCTGATTCATGTAAATGTTGATCTTCACAAACCAACAATTATAAAATAGAGTTGAAAATTCAGGAAAATTGAAAAATATCTCTATTGCTACTGTGGACAAAACAGTCAAAATATGTTTGCATTTATTAAAATGTTAATCTATTATGTAGTCTTGGAGAATGGTGTATTAATGATTTTTTAAATATTTACAGTTGTAACATATGCAATCAAGACAACATTTCTTCATCCATGAATCTGCTGGCTTATCAGCACAGAAAATAAAGTCCAAATGAGGTTAAAGATATCACTGCTAAAAGAACCAAAACATATCCTTTGTTTGTGTCTGAAATAATGTTGTCAATGTAATAGACATTATGTTTCTCAATGTCTGTAGTAATTGATATTTTACAAAGTATGTGTTATAAGCTAATAAAATGTGGTGTCCTACAGTGAAATGAGCAAAGTCATTCTCATCGACACTGCAATAAGAGTCTAGGAATTGGTTAAGGTCCTCCTTCTGATGTCATCAAGCTGAGTCTGCCACTATAAAAATGCCATCCCCTGGCTGGCCCGCCCATCTTTTGCCTCAGCGTCTTGTCAAAGAGCTAGTTTCTGGAAAGATTGCTTTAACAGAGCTAAGAGAAAGTTTGAAAAATCAATTAGGAGACAGATTCTGATTGAAAAAGCCAGAAAAATCCAGGATCCGGTAGAGCTCTGTCTCCAGGAGAGCGGGGATCTGTTCTCCTGTAGCGTTGAGGCTTTGGCGCTGCCTCACGAAGGGCTGCTGACCCATGGAGCCTTTTTAGAAGTCTTCCATGCAACTCCATTGATCGCGCAGCTTGCTGCCGCCGCCTGAACTGCTCCACAGCTGACCTCGGAGCTTCATTCTACCACTTCTCAGCTGTTTCACTGCAATTTGATCACTCGGGGCCTGGTAAGAGCCTATTGAGCGAAGGAGGTAAAGAAACCATTCTGGAGCCTCTCCACGTGGTGAGTGGCCATTTTGAATCAGCCGGGCGGCCATTTTGTTGAAGGTAAAAATGCTTCCTCGGGGCCTCTCAGTTTATAACTAGCCTGGCCCATTGCATCAGACAGCACCTCACAGGGGAAGCTCACAGCACTCTTGGTGTCTGCTGTTTGCAGTGTGGAAAGGGAAGCACCCCAGCCTGCTACCAAAGAATTGGAAGAGCCCAGGAGGCACAAGCCCCTTCGAGGAAGAGAAAAAGACAGCCCCTTCTGCCAACAAAAAAGTTGCTGCAAAAATCAAGGCCAAAGCCCTAGCTCCTTGAAAGTCTTCAAAATCTGAGCTTAGGGCTTAAAAAGAAGGCATGCTGCTCTTGAAAAGCAGTTTGAAAAAAGGTTGGCACAAATGCAAGCCCAGATTCATCAGGCCTCATTCTGGGGAGATGCATATTAGCCCTGAGATTTCTTCTAAGCGAGGGGAATCCGCTTCCAGTCAGCTGTTAGCATGGTCCCCTGAGAGAGTGGAGGAAGAACAATTTCCCCAGGATTAAAGCAGGTCATGGCCTTCCTTTAGACAGGCTTCATGCGGACCTGGCCCTTCCTTCCTGGGTGGTCAGGGGGTTCAGGGAGGGTTTAGGCCTAGGCCTGAAGCAGCCTACACCCCCACTGCTGCGGACCTACACTCGGAGAAGAATAGGCCTGAAGATCTCAGGGAGATGGTCATGGTAGCCATTAGACAGGGCCTAGGATTCAAACATCTTCACTCTCAAGGAGGGGACCCAGCCTTGTTAACCCAAAGGTTTCCACAAGGGGTCTCCCATTCTCAGAAGGTTGTGCCCAGACATCAGTTCTCTTCTCCCACTCGGAGTGGAGGGAGGAAGAGGAGGATAATTATTCCAAATCCTCTGACCATAGCCATTCTGGTCACTCTGAGGAGGAGGAAGGGGAATTTATAGATCCCAATATGTCTGAGAGGAGGATCTCAGAGTTGATCAACCTCCTCTTGCAGGAGTTTTTAGACCTTCATTTTTCAAGCCCTTGTTACACAAGGCCTTTGCCACTGCATAACTCAGCCCTGAGGAGGTGGGCCCTGAACCACAAGCAACCACTTCTGGCCACTCCGATTCATTATTCTCCAAGCCAGTGGTACAGGCGGAGGTTCTCCCCTCCCCCTTCTCTTCCTTGATTTAGTAAAGGAACAGTGCACCTCCCCAGGGGCGGGACCTCGCCCGTCTGCTCATGACAGACGATTCTACAATGTGGGACCGTCCCTGGTCAATGCCCTGGTTGTGCCGTTGGTAGATGCTCCAGTAGTGGCTTCCTTCTCCTCTGGCACCCCCCACTGAACCAGAGGATGTGCTCAAGGCTGAGGACAGGCGATCCGAGCAAACTCAAGCGCACTTATCAGGCTGCAGCCTGGGTGATTAGAGCATCCATGGCAGCCTCGTTTTTTATGAGGCTGGCTTCACCAGCTTCAGGAGAGGCTTCTGGCCACCGAATGCAGGGCACACCAGGACATCAAAAAAATTACTGCAGCAGCGAAGTTTACAGTAGACGCCACCCTGAACTCAGCCAAATTTGCTTCCAGGGCCATGGCTTCTTCTGTGACGGCCAGATGGCTGCTTTGTCTGCGCAACTGGCAGTCTGACACTCGCCGAAAATGGAAGTTGGCATCAGCTCCATGCGCAGGCAAGAAACTGGCGACATCCTTGACCTTTATTTGACGGAAACCAAGGACAAGAGAAAGGTCCTCGGCAGGAAAGAAGTCCGAGTATCATCCTGGACCTTACTATCACCCTTTGTCCTTCAGATCCGATACCAGCCCTCGATTCTCCAGAGATCAGAGGTCTTTTTCATATTGTGCATACTGCATTCTGGACCAGTTGAAGCTTCCTGATGGTCTTCAAAGGCAGTTCAATGTAGACTGAGTTACAGTAGATAGGTTGCGAAGTGACCAGGGCATGAGTGACAGTCTGAAGGGGCCCCCCGATCTAGGAAAGGGTTCAACTGTCACACCAGATGAAGTTTTATAAAAGCCTTCCTGGCCACATCTGCCACTTTTTCTTTGAGCAGGATCTATGCGTCCAGAAAGACTCCCCATATGGTGCTGTACCCCTGAATAGGGAGAAACAGTCCTTGCCAAATAGAAAGATGAGGTATCCCTAGATCTGGACAACACCAAACACCCACAACTACTTGGTAGTTGTGAGACAGTTTACAGTCAAAGGTTTTGAATAGAAAAAAACTGCTTGTAAAAAATTAATCAGGTTGATCTAAAGGTTTTGAGAATATGGAAAGCATGTGGAATAGGGGTAATTTGAAACCTCATCTAAACTGTTCATTGTTAAACACTTCAACAACAAGGAGCAAAAAAATGAATTTTCTATTGCTTGGTGATGGATTAAAAAACATGAATAGAAATAAATAGCCTGTTTTGAAATAGATATAAACAAGCTAACTATTAAACTTCTACAGTTTGCAATATCGTATTGCTGTTCTCTAGGAAAAGTTCAAGTTGTGTAAGTTCTATTTAAATAGGTCAGTAATGATCGAGTCTTAATGATTTTAGTGGATTTACAGCTGGTTTTGGATTTAAGACAACATTTTTACTATGTGCTAATCTTTATTCACATTCTCTGAAGAGCAGATGTTATAATATAATACTGTCATTTGAGCAAAGCAGCTTTCCTACCAATCCATGTATTTTTTTTGTGCTGGAATATTCAGATGATGAGATTTTAAAATGTATTTATTATATCAATTTTTAAAACAAATTTACATTATTTTTGAATAATGCATGAGTCAGATATGTTAGAAATATTTTTATTCCTTAATTCTTTTAAAACATAAGGAATTAGTTAGCTGTGTGGGCTGGACAACAGCAGATGAACTGTATTCATGCAGCGATGATCACCAGATTATAAAATGGAACTTGTTAAATGGAGAAACAGCACAAGTTGTCAAGCTTCCTGATGATATCTATCCTTTGGATCTTCACTGGTTTCCTAAAAGTTTAGGTGGAAAGAGACAAACCCATGCTGAGAATTTTGTACTTACAAGTTCTGATGGTAAGTTGCCTTGAATATGTAATTCATTTTGGGGTACTATCAAATATGATGCACAGAGGTGGTATTTAGCAGGTTCTGACCAGTTCTGGAGAACCAGTAGCGGAAATTTTGAGTAGTTCAGAGTACCAGAAAATTACCACTTCTGACTAGAGATCTTACAATATCCTTTCCCTGCCACGCCCACCAAGCCACGCCCATAGAACTGGTAGTAAAAACAATTGAATCCTGCCACTGATGATGTACCATCCTAAATCACTAATTTTGATTCATTGTCACATTGATTGTATCTGCACATAACACTAGCAGCATTTGTTTTGCCCACTGTTGTTCAAACAGCGTAAAGTTGATCTTTTAGACAAGCAAATTAATGTTTTGGCCAATTTCTTATTTGTTTTTCCCTTCAATTTGTTTGTGGTTGCAAATGAATATAACAGGCATAGTTTTGTGCAGGTAGTACTTGAAAAGCCTACTAATATCTTATGTGAATGATTTCCAGAACAGCAAAAATACTTCAAAATTGAATCTTCATGGCTTTATTAATTAATAAAAACAGGGGGAAAGGAGTAGATATAAAATTGAAATTGAAACTGAGTCTTTTCAAAAAAAAATTCTTTCAACTATATTATCAAAAAAGTTTTTTACTAAAAGTTTTAATTTTTTAAGTCTGATTTACAGGAGTAATCAAAAGAGTTAATATGTTGAAATTAGTAAGTAAAATATTAATAGAAAATACAGAATAAATGCTTGTTCAATCTAACTTGATAATTCTCTGATGAGATCCTGAAGTTGACATTCTTTGAAAATAGTTTTTAAGCCACATAAATATTGATATAATTAAGAAGCTATCCAGTCCATTCTTGGTTAGCTTTTTAATGTTTTGGGGTACTTTATAAATTGTTTGTTAAAGTGAACAAGAGATAACCTGTTTCCCTGAAAATAAGACCCAGACAGAAAATAAGCCGTAACATGATTTTTCGGGATGCTTTTAATTTAATCCCTACCACCCAAAATAAACCCCAGTTAAGATAATCAACCAGATACATTTAGTCCCAAAAATAAGACCTAACTGGAAAATAAGCCCTAATGTGTCTTTTCAAACAAAAATTAATATAAGACCTGGTCTTATTTTCAGGAAAACACGAGTATTCAAAATCTACCAAGGACAAATTTATACTGAATTTTGCTCATTTTATGAATAGGCACTCAGAAAAATGTGTTTTAACTATGCTCCAAAACATCTTCAAGGAGATCACAATTTGGGTCCCACATGGGAAGGCTGTTCTGTGAGAGTTGAATTTATACAGAAAAACACCTTTTCTAGATCCCTTAAATATATCATATGGGGATGCTAATCATCCCAATTTTAGATGTATGTCCTAGATGGGTCAGTTTTACATGAAGGTTTATAAGGCTTCTGTATAAACCATTATAATTTGTGTTCCTGCCTTTCAAAGAACTGTATTGGTAATAATCCTCATTTGGATAAGAAATGATCTGTCCATGGTGAAGAACCATAATATTCTTTTGTTTCAACAGATACATTAAGGCTCTAAAGCAGGGATGTTAAACTTGATTTCATTAAGGGTTGTGTCTGACCTTGGGGGGCTGGGGTGGGTGTGGCCAGCATGACATCACCAGTGTCAGGGGCGCTTGTGGCCAAGCGCTCTGCCAGCAAAAACGGGCTCCTGAGCTCCATTTTTGGTTGTGATGACCTCCTGCAACTCTCTACCAGCGAAAATGGAGCTTGGGTGACAGAGCACGTGTGAAATTCACAAGTTTCATTTTTGCTGGCAGAGGCACCATGGGCCAGTCCTTTGCTATTTCCAGGATGGCCCCAAGGGCCAGATCTAAGCACCCCATGGGCCGGATGTGGCCCCCGGGCCTTGAGTTTGACACCCCTGCTCTAAAGTGAAGATCAGATTTTATATGTGATCAGCTGAGTGAACTTGATTTTATTACTTGGGTAAACATGATCTTATTGCAAATAGATCTATTTATCAACAGTGCCCAAACCTAAATACAGTAATATGGCCACTTGGGACCAATAAAGTTCCAGAGTTACTATAATCAAACTCTGCATCTCCCTTCCTCTGAAACAGCATGCCAAGAACTCCCATCATATCTTCCCAGGCTTTTCAGCACCAAAGCATATTTCTTCTTTAGGGGTCCTGTAACTAACTACACATACTTTTCCCTGAGCTGATTCTTTCAATGAGATAAATTAGTTTATCTAATTTGTCCTATTGGTTTCAATGCCATATATGAATGAATAATTTCAGTTGAACTGAAACCAATTATTTATATCAGTGAGAAATATTTCCAACTGAAAATAGTAAATTGACTAATAAATTAGAAAAAGAGAAGAATGAAATGCTGTTTTTCAGAAATCATCTTTGTATATAAATTAGGTTTATAATGAATATAATTATTATAATACTTCTATAGGTAAGTTTCATTTGATTTCTAAAACTGGAAGAGTTGAAAAAAGTGTAGAAGCCCACTGCGGAGCTGTACTTGCAGGAAGATGGAATTATGAAGGTACCGCACTTGTTACAGGTAACAGGATTCATCTCTTAAGTGTGTCCTGAAGGAATGTGGTTATCCCAACATGCAGAAAGAGAATTGCTCCTTTTTTAAAGTGCAGAAATTGAAAGAAAAGATGGAATAACATTTGTGTAATTGCTTATTTTTTTCAAGTACATGATGGAAAAGAAATAATATGACTACTATATAAAATACATAATGCATGGAAATTAGGTAAAGATAGATAGTTATGTAGAGAACATTCATATTTATTTCATTATTGTGCTTGTACAATATGTTGCTTTAAATTCGAATACTACATTATCATTTGTGTATTCAGAAAGTAGGTAAACCAGAGGCTACATTTGATATGAAAAACTTTATTTATTGTATAGTTCAGTCAGTAGTAAACTGACTGAAAGGCAACATCATGGAATAAAAACTAGTTGTTCTTCACTTGTATTGATTTATACAACAGTGAATTTCAGTGAATCCCTGAGTAAATAGAAGTTGACATATATTGTACATAGTAAAAGGTGACATAAATGCATACAATTTATGTGCAGTGTATAGATTGAAAAGTAGGGAAATGATATAATAATTGTATTGACTATAGTAATAAAATAGTCTTAATTATCAATTCATAGAAATAAGTCAAATTCAAAATCCAATTGTTAATTGAATAATAGGACTTTAGTGAACTTCAGATATTTAGTGCAGGCAATACGATAAGTATACAGACATTTTCCATTTGTATAAAAAAGCAAAAGATTGGGCCAGCCTTTATTAAATATATGATCATTATTGCTCCTTTGAATGTGATAATAATAGATTCTGCTGTTAGCATTAGAGATTTGAATGTGTATATATTACATACAAAAGAAAAACTTTAAAAAACAGGAAAATGCAATACATAGTTAGGAAATTATATTTCCCCTTTCTTAATGTTCCTTTTAAAAAATATAAGAATTGAAACTAGAGGTTATCATTTCTTTATATTTTCTTCTTAAATTATTCATAAGATGATTAAGAAAATTATTCAAATGGGACTATGGTAAGATGTCCTCAAGCCAACTTTGATTTCTGACAACTACACAGTTGAAGTTTTCTTGGCAATAGTTTGCCATTGCTATCTTCCAGGATAAATGGAAAGTCTGCCTTCTTATTTAGGTGATTTAAGAATATTTAGAAAAAGAGGAAGAAAGCATTTACATTGATTATAATAATCATATCATATTGATTATAACATATTTAGGAAACTTTGAAACTTTGAATTAGTCACCTTAGAGAATGATAGTTCTTTTTACCATACAATTCCTCAGAAAGCAATGAGAAACACTTTAAGACTGTTAGTACTGCTTTTTAGGGGTAAAGTAATAATGCAACTTACAATATTCAAAGTTTTAAAGGATTTTAATGCTGAAAACTTACTTAAGCAAAGACTTTGATATTTATTTCTAGTTGGTGAAGATGGACAAATAAAAATTTGGTCCAAGAGTGGAATGCTAAGATCCACATTAGTACAACAAGGTAAGTTGATATTTCTTCATTGTTTTTGAAATTCCACCTAAGAATAAATTCTGAATTTTTCAGAACATACATTCTCCAGAATACACATTCTGAATTCAGAATTCTCCAGAATGCACATTCAGGAGAGTGAGAAGTTCCCTGATAATGGGCTCCAGCATGAATCTGAAAGCTTGGAAGAGTAAACATTTGGTCCTGCTAACTGGCTCAGATTGGATCTTTCAACATTCTCCTGGGACACGTATATTTGCCTTCATTCACCTATTTTTTTCTTTACTGGATGTCTTACTGACATCTTAAATGGAATATAGTGAAAAGGAGTCTGCAGTTTTCAAACTTCCCTGCAAACATTTTGTTCACTGTACTGCCACATTACTTCCTATTCTAGAATTTCTATTTCTTTTAATTTTCATTTAAAGCAGCACTTTTTCCAATTGTCATTTATTTGATAACCAACTATATTTTATTGGTTTTATTTCTCTTATCCAAATCTCTTATAATTGTTTTATTCTGAGTTAGAGTGGTTTTAAATAAGCTATAAAATACATAAAGAAGTATTTTACTCTATCCTTTTAGTTTTTTTAAAAAAACTAAAAAATCAGTTTTTTTAAAAAAAATTGCTTCCTAATTTTATCAGTTTGAATGATAAGGTTATTTTCTAGCAAAGAGCAAATACAAAAGGAGTAATTGATATTAAAGGGACTATTTTTTTACATTTTCCTTCTAGTTAACAAACATAAATACAGACTTTCCCTAGGTATGGAATCATCCATGAATGGGAATACCTTTTTGAAAGTAACTTTTCAAAAAGTGGTACCGAAAGATCTAATGCAGCTTATTAGTGGGTTAGGTGATTCAATTTCAGATGAAGTCAATTGAGAAGAAAAAATAGCTAATATTTTGTCAAAGGATGAACTAGTTGCCTTAGAATTGGATTAGTCTAGTACATTGTTGTTGTTGTTGAGTTAGAAATGAAAAAGCATCCCCAGAGAAACAAATATAATTACAGTCCAATTATAGTTCAATTGAGTTTCTCAATCACTAAATGTGGTATGCAAATCTTTAGTCCAAATTACAGTGGTGTTACCATGAAAATGGGAGGAGAGTATCTCTGACAATGTTATATCAAATAAAGTTAGCAATGGATAAACATTATTACTAAAATTGGTAAGAATGCCAAGATAGTAAAATCGTCATGCTTTCCATTGTTAATTTATTCCAATATTTAATTTTATTCAATTTTAAATTCAATGTTGAATTCAAACAACAATTTCATGCTGTTTGACTTTATAATCTTTTTCATTATATGTTGCTTTGATGATTGCTGAGATTCTCTACTGCTGTTTCTTCAACCAGATAAATAAATTATGAGTTCATCTGAGAATAATGTAGCAATCTAATGTACATTATTTTTAATTTATTGAGAATGTTAGTTTAGTATTCTATAATGCAGTTATACAGTTATATATTCAAACAATGTTTGAAAAGCTGAAATCTCACAAACCATTTAGTTGGAATATAGATAAGACACAGTCTCCATCCTGTACCCAGAGCTGAATCCTGATTGAAAAATATCAGATAATTTGCTTCATGACCATTCCTGCATCCACACAAATTTCACCCCCATTTAAGTTCTCCTGCTCTGGTTCTTTGAACCACTTTGAACAACTAGGAAATAGCTTAGCTGTATTTCTTTTGCTTTTTCTGCTTTTTTTTTCTGCTGACAAACCCATATCAAAGCTTAATTTATTACCTTTGAGTTTCAATAAGCTATTTGGGGTGAGGAGCTTGAATAATAAGTGATAAAAACAAATTGAATACAACAGGAAATAAATGCTAAAATATAATATTAAAGATTTCATCACATCCTCCAAAAGTCAATCCAGATAAAAATTCCTGCAATCTTGCCAGTAGTAGCTCATAATTTGGAGATTTTCTGTGGGAAGGGAATTCTTTTGCTGCAAATTAGCCAAGAAGAATTCTTCCCTGTATATGCTTGTTTTTTTCAGTTTGCTCTTTATATACTTCCATGCTGAAAGAAGAGAGTAAGATAGAAAGCAATGCCATCATCTTGACCTTTTCTCCTCCCTGTTACCTTTCTTTATCTTAGTATCCTTTATTTCTACCTCTACACCATCTTTCTGTCTAAGAAACCCTTTATATCATTTTTCTTTTGACAAGAACATACTTAATGCTGAATATCCAAGAGCGTGTTCCTTTAAAAATATTTTGATTGTGTTCTATATTATCTTTGTCATCTTCGGTGCTGATTTGGGTTGTAGAGCCCCAGACAGACATGGTGTGTAATCCTCTTTGATTCATTATTCTTGCTCTTGTAAGAGCAGGGGTGGGTTTCTACCGGTTCTGTCTACCTCTGTAGAACTAGTAGCTCTGAAGAGCAGCAGACAGAGAACCGGTTCTATGTCTGCTGATGTTTTTGCCCACCCGCCCACCTGGGCTCTTACCTGAGCCTTATTTCCTGATTTTTCAACTTCAGCTGCCAAACGAGGCACAGCTGCAGTTAAAAAAGCAGGAAAAGAGGGCTGTTTCAAAGGCTGCTTCTCTGCACGCAGCGTGCTGATGACGATTTAAAGGCGCACGCTCACAGGGAAGCACATCATAAATCACCAAACCTCGTAAATCACCGAACTGATAGTTAACCCTGTCGTATCCCACCCCTGAGTAAGAGCAGATGGCAATCATGACTAGGAGGACCTTTGCACAGCTTTGTGTTGCATGCCAGTTATGCTCACTTATACTGTTCCTGGACTGTGTGGCTGTGCTTCAGTTACTTATGCCCTAGTCACCTTCCAATTGGATTACTATAATGCACTCTACATGGTGCTGCCTTTGAAGAAAATCCAGAAGCTTCAGCTGGTGCAAAATAAAAAAAATGCACATATGTTTCTAACACGATATATATTATGCCTCTGCTCCATGAGCTACATTGATTGCCAGGTCCAATTAGAGGTTCTGTGTCAAGTGCAAGAAATCAGGAAATCAGGTCTTGTGATATCTTGTTTAGTGATCACAATGATTCAGTTAACAGTGGAAGTGGAAGTGAGTTTGTAAATCTGTCGTAGTCATGTGATTTCAACTTAGCAACCACAGTGCTTAGTGACATGCTTAATGACGCTATCGATTATTTTAACTAGACTTCAAATAGAATGTCAGTCTTTAACCTTGGGTGATTTCAAAGCTTATCCATATTTCAGACTTGTCGTTATTAAATTGCAATCCACCTTTGGTGAAGATCATTTTGTTGTCCATTTAAGTCTGAGAATTAGCTTAGGAGATTTGCTGTACTTTCTCGATTGGTAGCTCAAACAAACTTTCATCAATAATATAAACCAAAAGATTTGGCTGTTATCCAGTTATGCTAAACCAAAATAACTGTACCATGCTACCTTTATCTAGGACAGACACAGGACAGACACAGACTTCAGAGGATAACTAGGACTGCAGAAAAAACAATTATTACCCACCTGCCTTCAATTGAGGACCTATATACTGCATGAGTCAAAAAGAAGGCTGTGAAAATATTTACAGACCCCTCACATCCCGGACATAAACTGTTTCAACTCCTTCCCTCAAAACGACACTATAGAGCACTGCACACCAGAAGAACTAGACAAAAGAACAGTTTTTTCCCGAAAGCGATCACTCTGCTAAACAAATAATTCCCTCAACACTGTTCAACTATTTACAAAGTGTACCACTACTATTACTGTTAATCTTCTCACCACTCCTTATCAGTCATCCCCTCCCACTTGACTGTTTCCTAGTATGATTTGATTGTTGATTGTACCCTATGACAATCATTAAGTGTTGTACGTTATGATTCTTGATTCTTAACGAATGTACCTTTTCTTTATGTATACTGAGAGTATTTACACCAAGACAAATTCCTTGTGTGTCCAATCACACTTGGCTAATAAAGTATTCTATTCTATTCTATTCTATTCCATTCCATTCTATTCTATTCTGTTCTAGTGGTGTTCTTGGTGGATTGTTTTTAATCAGAGAAAGTATGGAGTAATATTTGACATCTTGTACAGGCAGATGATGATACAGGTTCTTTTGTAACAACCACAAATGGAATCTTCTTTGGGTTTCAAGTGTATATTAAGAGTACAACAAGCTGCTCTCCTTGCAACTGAATAGAATATGTCAGGTGTTAACAAATTCTTGCTTAAACAATGGATGTACTTGTTTTCTCACCATTGGCATGTTTTATATAATGATAATTTCCATTGTTCTTGGGCTGTCACAACAATGTCATTAAATGTTAATCCATCTCTCCATTGATAAGAGTGATACTGTCTTTTATTCTGAAATTGAATTCACATTCCTTTGATCAAACCCTTGACATCCCAAACAAGAAGAATGCAATTGTCAAGATCTTGACCATGCAATATTATGCTCTCTAGACTTTTTACACTATGACATCATAATACTTTGCTATTAGCATTCTGGATTGAATCTTAACCTGTCCCCCTTATCCAGCCTTGGATAGCCTCCTGATGAATTCTAATCCCATACTGATAGATGATCTCCCCAGAAGTTTTACGTAAATGTTATATAGGAATGGATAACGTTATAAAATCTTGTCTGAATAAACGTTTACCTTTGTTGCTAATTCTATCCTTTTTAAACACATGGTATAAAACTAATGTAGATTAGAACAGTATTAAAGTATTTTGGAATGTAAATAATAGTTGCATTTCTCACCAATGTGTATCACTTTCTTCCATTATCTCTATAGGAACACCTATATATTCAGTAGCATGGGGTCCAGATTCTGAAAAGATTCTTTACACATCAGGAAAACAGCTAATTATCAAACCACTTCAGCCAAATGCTAAAGTTTTACAGGTATCATTAATATAGAGTATTTAATAATTATAATAATTGCAAAATGTTGAGTGAACAATATCCAAAACAGTAATCTTCATCTTATCTTTGTCGTGTAAAGGATGTTGTGTTGATAGAATTATGACCATTTATTTCAGAGTTGGTATTCAGAAGTGCCTGCTATACAAAATCTTAGACTCTAAACCTAAGCTAGACAAATTGAATTAAGTTAGCTATCACCTTACTACTTAATGTATGTCATCATGCTAACTTAAAAAAGTAACATTACAGCTAAGATGGATGGACTTCAAGTCGCAGAATTCCCCTGGCCAGCACAAATCTTACCAGGACAAGGGGCCAGCATTAACTTAATCTGGAATTAGATGACAAATTGTAATTTAATATGAAAGTTCTATAATATTTAATTCTGGAAAATGTGTATGGGGGGGAATTAACACCTGTTCAGGGAAGAACGGTAAAATATAATGCAAAGTACACTATTAAACAAAGTGAAATAATTATGGGTATTTAAAGTAGTTCAATATCTTAGTAAAATTAGCATGTAGAAGTAGAGCTACCTGGAAATATGCTAATTGAAATGGTTGCTAAATAATGACATCGTGTCCATCCTATTTTGTGAGTTTATTGTTTCAATTATATGTAACCCAGCTGTACCAAGATGTATTTTAAGCTTCAATTAATCAAATTCATAAACATGTTTTATACAATCTAACTTAAAGCAATGTTTTTGCAAACTAAAGTTCAATCCCTTTTCATGTCTACACATTAAATATTTTGACTAAAATGTTATTTATTTAAAAATGATAAAACTAACTCTCTTAATATTATACCTTGTTAATATTTAGAGCTCTTAGGACTTAGGATTGTTACATTATAAGCTTTATTTTAAATATATTTGTTCTTCCTGTTTGTTCCCAGTGGAAAGCTCATGATGGAATTATTCTAAAAGTCGATTGGAATTCTGTCAATGATCTTATTTTGTCAGCTGGGGAAGACTGTAAATATAAGGTATGCATTCTTTCCAAAAATGTCTTATAATATGCAATTAACTATCATTAGAAGTCCAGTTAAATAAAAGAAGATAATATTTCACTACACATTTGTTGAACTCTGTGTGTGGGTGTGTAAAACAAGTACAAGTAATTCTTGTTTAGTAACACTCTCATTTAGCAATCCTTGCCTTTTTCCTTAGTGACCGCTTCTCTTAATGACTGAATTACCGATCCCAATTGTGGTATCCTTACCACAATTAACCTGTACCAACTTACCACATACTTATAATTAATTACAATCATAATTATAATTTAAATGCTGACAGCTAATTTTGCAGTGGTTAAAGTGTTAGCCTAGAAACCAGAAGACTGTGAGTTCTAGGCCTCCTGGCTGAGTGATTTTGGCCCTGTCACTCTTTCTCATCCCACAGAGTTGTTTTGGGGAAAATAGGAGACAGCAGTATTATTTATTATATTATTTATTATATCTCACATTTCTAAAAAGCCCATTCTCAAAGATGGGCTATGGGTAATGTACAATAACACATGGGTCCCTACGCCCTGGGCCACAGCCCATTCAAAATTCAGCCATGTAAGCAGCGGGCAAGTGCACATGTAGCTCCAGTCGCATAAGTGGTGGGTACATGCGCCTCTTGTACAAATTGAGCTGTGCACTCCTGTCGCTTGCACAGCCAGAGTGGCTCGCACCGCATGGTCCTCCGCCAACACTTTAGCCAGAAAAGTTGGGGACTGCTGCAATATATATTATGCTTTCTTTTGCGGGTACTTACATGTATGGTATTTAGCTTTGTTCGGGTATTTTTCCACGTCATTATAGTTGTGCTTTTAAAGTTGTAGCAACATTTTGGCAGAATCTCATCTGCCATCATCAGGCTTCTGTATTGCGTTCAACGAACACACCTAGACATATATGTGTGTGTGTGTGTGTGTGTGTGTGTGTTTTCTTCAGTTTTCGCGGGTACTTACATGTATGGTATTCAGCTTTGTTCGGGTATTTTCCCACGTCATTGTAGTTGTGCTTTTAAAGTTGTAGCAACATTTCGGCAGAATCTCATCTGCCATCATCAGGCTTCTGTATTCTGTTCGTCTGTGAGGCAGACTTTTAATATAGGGCTGAAATGGATGTACTTACCCAAAAACTAAAAGATGAGGTAGACTCAAAATATAGTACAGTTTGGGATAAATGGATTAAGGATAAAAACCAGGGAATAAAAAGATAAGGAATGGAAAAAATTAAGTGGTTAGACTAAGAGTAGTTACCAGAAACAGAAAATGAATATTAGAAAAATTGTTTTTGAAAAAAGAACATACTGTCTAATTGATTAGAAACATATATGTTTTATACTTATGCGTTTTGTTTTACACATCGATTTCGTTTGTAATGAAATATCTTATGCATTGTACATATTTTTTAATCTTTAATAAAGTTTATTTTTAAAATTAAAAAAACACATCAAAATATAAAACTATATACATACTTACATACATACATACATATATACATACATACATACATACATACATATAAATTTTGAATTAAAAGTTTAAAAATTGTAAAAAAATCATAATAAGTGTTCATTATATTAATAAATACTTTGGGTTTTTGGAAAATATTCAATTTAATTGCACTAACATAATCAAGAATAAATACTTAGATTGGAAATTTTAAATGTTATTAAGTTTTGAATAAAGATTACATTAATACTACTTTACATGAGTGCAAAAACAAACTACAGTCTCACTGAAATGAAATCACATCATGATACAAAACTTGATTGTGTTTTTTGTTCTTTAATAAAATAGGTATGGGATAGCTATGGTCGTCTGCTGTATAGCTCATTGTCCCATGAATATCCTGTCACTTCTGTTGCTTGGGCTTTGGATGGGGAATTATTTGCTGTTGGATCCTTTCACACTTTACGACTTTGTGATAAAACAGGGGTAAGTAATAGTTTAGAGGGTATATATTTATTTAAAAATATTAAGTGTATTATACAACTCAAGAAAACGGGATCAAAAATTAAGATTTTAATTATATATTTTTCTTGAATTTTAAATAAAATTATTAAATTTATAGATGAATGTAAGACATGTTTTTCTTCTCATTCTATTATATTCTATCAGCAAGGTTTTTTTAATCTATGGATATACAGTATTTAGCAACTGTTACTTGTTCAATTTTAACAACATATCCTTCAGTTAATTTGATTTCAGATGATGTCTGTTTCTATGTCTTTTATTGTGTTTCATTTCCAGAATTCTGTTTAAGGAAATTGATTAAGTAACTTATGGTTATTAGTTCTTCAAATAAAATCCATCTTGTCTTTTTGTACAAGAATCTGTTGGGTCAGAGTATCATTTCATAGTTTTTAATTTTGGTTGCTCATTCTAGTGAATATGCTTTTGAATATGCTTCAGAGAAAGATATTTTTTCAAACAACCATAAGATAAACTTTAGAAAGATTTTGTAGAGTGTGTTTGTGGAGGAGATATATCTAAGAATTTTTCTGAGATGTGCTGATTGGGCATGATATAAGACTGATGTAAAGTTAAGAATTATTGGGTTGCTGATATTATTCCAATTACATTGTTGAGCAGCCTTGAAATACTTGCAGTGACATGAAATGAAAATCAAAATTACTGCTCAGTTCTCTATCTTCTATTCTAAACTGCTTCCATCTTTTCATTGGCCCCTACAACATACCCTGGTAATACAATTTATTTATTTATATTTTGTGTTTTTATACCACCCAGCTCCTTTAAAGAGGGTGGTATATTTCAATATATAAATAGTAAATAAGATTAAAATTCAAATATTAAAGTTGATTTAAGATTTAAAAAAAATTTAAATTATAAGTTATAAAATGATTACTGTGAAGTATAACTTCTGGCCTGAGTTGCTTCACTCTATGAACCACAAATGGCGTAGGGATGAGGCATAAATGTGCAAATAAACTGCTTGCTTCTACACAATAATGTTGAATCTTCAGCGTAGTCAAGAGTGTGTATGTGTAATGTGTCATTTTGTTTGTATTTTTGTACTGCTCCTATTCCTCTTGCCTTCTTGCACCCTAACATTCCAAGATACATCAACAGTTACTCACTTAACAACAGTAATTGGGAACAGAATTCCTGTTGCAAAGTAATATGGTTGTAAAGTGTGATGTTATGTGACCATGCTGTGTAGTCCCATCAATTCTGACACTTCTGGTTGCTGCCGTTGAGTGCATCCTGTCCTTAAATTGGGAGATCGCTATTTCTGATCTCCTTCTGGCTTCCTCATTGATTTTGCTTGTAGGAAGCTGACAAAGGCGATTACATGACCACAGGATGCTGCAACCTTTGTAAGAATAAGGACTAGTTGTAATTACCACTTATTTAGACCTGTTGTGGGCTCAGTTGTTAAGCGAGGACCACTTGTGTTTGAGAAAACAGTAAATAATAAACAATTGCTGACAGTTATTTGTTTTATTTATTATATTTGTTTGCCACCCATCTCACCAATATTTACCGGCATTTAGAAAATTGAAAGTGACTTCTTGAATTGTAATGTATTGTAAGTCTCTCTACCTAAGTCTTTTGCATTCTGCCCCTTTTAAACCATCTGTCCATATTTAACTTCTCTCATGGGTGATCTGCCTTTTTGGACTGTTTGTGTGTTCATCTGTCTCACACAGGCTTGTTCCTTCACTCTCCTTCCCTACACAAAGTATCTTTCATGGAGAAGCTTCATTGAAAAAAAATAGCCAATTTTTAGATTATACAAGTTACTACCAAACTCCAAAATAATATGGAATAGTTAGAATAAATTATGAGTAATTTTATATCTTCACAAAATAAGCATTTGAGAACATGGACATTCATTTTTGTGTCAGAATAATCCATAATTTTAATCCTTTCTCCAGCAATTTGTATTGGCAGTTACAACCATTATAACGAATACCTTAACAGAAGATTATTTAATGTAATCCATCAAAGTTTTTGTTTTACTAATTGAGAGTTAAAAGAGTAAACTTCAGATGTATGCTTGTCTCAAATATGTCTCTTTCCAAGCAAACTACATTTACAGAGTTCTTCCTTCAATTTGAAAAAAAGCATAATTGAATGGTATAGAAAAAGAAAACTGGTTTAAGAATATTACAGAGTTAAGTGGAAGCAGTTGCATAATATTTGTCCTAAACATTCCTCAATATTAACAAGGATATTCCTCGTCCATTTTTAATCCTATGGGGAAAGTGAAGATTTAAACTACATTTTTATTTATTGCTGATTTAAAGATAATAAATCTTAAGTTTATTACAAAATGACAATGTTCTTAATTGATTAAATGGCATAACTAAATGAATGTACAGAATACATTTCTTTAAATGGGCTTCCTATAAAGCTTTCTTTTTTTCTTTTGCTCTGGGAGAGGAGTGGATTTTAACAGAAGCTAAAGCCAGATGCTATCTATTCCTTTACAGCTGGCTGTAATAATTTATTAGACTTGCCTCTATACATTTCTGCTGCTTCATGCAAGTTTTTTCTTTGACTTAAATATAAATAGCTGCTAAAGAATTAGCTGTGCTAGTGCTGAGAGAGAAGAGAGAATGATTCACTGGTTATTTGTATGATAGTGTTTGAAGAGAACCAGGCCTGACTTTTTGGTCAACACAGACATTTTTATTGTGTCTGATGTAATGGAGCTGAATCAGCAAATTGCTCCCTGGAGAACCATCAGGAGATATACATATCATTAACCCTTCTGCAGCATATGTGACTAGTTATAAAGCATAATCTAATTAAATACACTAACATACACTTTTTTGCATCAGCCTTTTTTTTCCCTTGTAGCACTAATAATACTAAGGAGTGCTAATACTAAAAGTATATAGTTTGCCATTTCTATAGGTATACTCTTTGAAAGTCCCTTTTTAAAAAAATAATAATAATTATATCCTGCCTTTTTTTCATATACAACTCAAGGTGGCAAACATATCACTTTTTTTATTTTTTCCCACAACAACAATCCTGTGAGGTAGATTGGACCGAGATAGAGTGACCTAAAGTCACCAGACAGTTTTTCATGGCTAAAGTGCGATTAGAACTCAAAGTCACTGGATTTCTGGACAACATCTTCACCTCTCATTTTAGGTGTCAAGCACACCTTTAAAAGTGTTTTTAAAGTATGAAACGGGAAAAAATCCTGTGTCCATGCTTTTCATCATTTTAAAATTTATAGGGTTTAAAGGCAGGGATGGGATTCAAATTTTTTAACAACCGGTTCTGTGGGCGTGGCTTAGGTGGTGGGTATGGCTTGATGGTCATGTAACTGGGTGGACATGGCTTGGTGGTCATGTTATTGGCTGGGTGTGGCCAATTCAATATCACTCACATCGAGGCATGCATCTTCTCACCTGGCCTCTCATGACTGTGGGGATGCTGCAACAGTCGTAAGTGTGAAAAATGGTCAAAAATGGTCACTTTTTTTCAGTGCCATTGTAACTTTGAATGGTCACTCCACACAAGCAAAGTACCAACAAAGGAGGGGAAAAAAACTCCAGAGATGTTCCTGAGACAGGAAGTCTAGTCCTGCCAAGAATGTAATAAGGATTAACGGAGAGGCAGTTTCTGTAAGCAACACCAGAATGTTTCCTTCCTGCCTTCCTTACAGGATGAGGCCAGTAATTTCTTCTAAGAATTGGTTCTCCGAACTGCTTAGAATATTAACAACCAGTTCTAGCGAATAGGTGCGAACTGGTGGCTTTCCTATTGACTTTGCTTGTTAGAAGGTTACAAAAGGTGATCATATGACCCCTGGAAAGTGCAATCATTATAAATATGAACTAGGTGCCAAGTGTCTGAATTTTTATCATGTGACCATGGTGTTGCTAAAATGGTTTTAAGTGTGAAAAACGGTCATAAGTGACTTTTTTCTTTGCTGTTCGAACAGTCACTAAATGAACTGTTGTAAGATGAGAACTACCTGTAAAGAATATAGCTTCCTTAATTGCTTATAATTTGCAACAAAAAATTTTGTAGGAAAAGTTATTTCAGTCACCATAGATTATTTTTATAGATTGAATTACAGTTCTTAAATAATACCATAATCTCTTAGGGAACAAAATAAATAGTTGGACATTGATAAAAGTACACAAAAATCAAAATGTTCAAAGAATTACTTTGGCAGACATCAACAACAAAAATCTCATATAGAACAATGATTAAAATGCAATTGAAAAGGTCCCAAAATAAATGCAACCAATATAATTTACAAATAAAGAAGCAATCATGTATCTAAATAAGAATCTATATACCGTATTTGACGGCGTATAAGATGACTTTTTTGCCCTGAAAAACATGCCTCCAAGTGGGGGGGGGGTCGTCTTATACGCCGGCAAATACGGTATATCCACTGCCGGCTTTCGGATGCTTGTGGGACGCAGCGAAGGCGCCTCTGGCTTCCCGGATCCCCCGCGTCACTTCCGCCAAGAGCCTCCCCGCGTCTCTGAATCAGGTTCGAATCCCGCTCGCCTCGCTCCGCCCAAGGCTGCAGCGACTGGGGGGAGCGAGAGCGTGGGTCGCTCCTGTCGCCCCAGGCAGGGCCATGTGAAGGCTGCCCGCCTTCCTGCTCCTCCCACGGCCCCTGGCACTCCGCCCTGCCGCTGCAGCCCTGGGGATTTCTGGAGGGCGTTTCCGGTGACCCCGCCGGGATCATTTGGCTGACCTAACGGACGCGTTGCAAGAGGACTCTGTTGCGGGAAAGCCCGAGGGGAAGGGCCAGGGTTCTGGAGTAACGCCTGCCTACTCCGAGACACGCTCCTTTAGACAGTCCATCTAAGAGAGTTCAAACATCCTTCACTCCCAACACAGAATAACATACACACTGTGTAAATATTGGATGATTGTTACCGTATTTGTCGGCGTATAAGATGACTTTTTTGCCCTGAAAAACATGCCTC